AGCGATATTTAGTATTACCGCTAGTAAACGAATTCACTATATATCGATTACTATCACGATCGTGTGTAATCGGCAGGAGTGATTGGTATCGATATATAATTACCTGGCTAGTAATCAATATATATCGGTCTATTTTTTTTGCTGATGATATAAATTTTTTACTACACTCCAAAACTAGACCGATATAAATTAAAGTTTTAAATTCTAGAATTTGAACAGAATCGGCAGCAATAACTTTATCAACAAATATACTGTATACTATTTTTTAAATGATTATAAATAAATTTAATAAATATATAGATATGACGATTAAGCTTATCGCACTAGTAGTTAATAATAGTATATTTTTATATCAGTATAAACCGGATTTTTTAACCAAACTGAAATCTGAAATTTTTCTGGGTCCCTAATAGGTACCCTTATGTCAAGCAAATTCCGGGCTAAAGATCACTTCCGATCATAAATTTCGTAAATCAGATCCAATAAAATTACAGGATCTTGTATAATAAAACAAATGCAAAAAATGTAAGAAAATGCAAAAAATTTATACAAATGAACAAGTATAACGAAGTTCATTTAGAAATGGAACGAAGGACTAAGAATCACCAAGATCACGAGTGCCTAAGGCCAATTTTATTGGTTTCTGCCTATTTTTAGAAGTACATACATTATGTATTATTATATTACTTTTTTATATATATATATATATATATGAGTACTTGTGACCAACCTCTTTTCCCCAGGCCATTTTATCCACGTAACACCATACTGTTACTTTTTTAAATTCTAATACTCTACTTTTATTCTAAAAATGCAAAATCATAAGAATTATGCTACACTAGTGTTTAAATATATATATATACAAATTAAAAGCAAGTGTTTGTTGTGTTTTTTTTTTTTTTTTTGATGTAAATATAGCAGGAAGGGCATGAAAGAGTGGGTAATATGTGATCTTGGTGATTCTTAGTTCTTTATTTCATTTCCAAATGAACTTCGTTACACTCATCTATTTGTATAAATGAAACTTAGTCCTAATTCTTACCAAGATCACGAGTGCCTATTCGAAGCATTCCAGTCTTGCTTGATTCAGGATTAAAGCTGTAATATTGTTCTTCGCCAACATTTTTAATACACCTCTTTGGTAGAATTTATAGTATATTTCATTACTAACCCAATTTCCTAGAGCCAGAATCTTTGTCAATTCTGTACCAGAGTCTTGAGCGAAAAAGGCAGCCATCATTCTAGTGTCCTTTGATTTTAAATCTGACGAAGAATGCTTTAAAATGTCTCGTATCTATCTCGATATCATGTTAGTTGATGCCGGGTTATGTGGTTTAGTGCTTGTTAAAAAAAGCATGGTCGCTTTAGCAAATGTATCTCCCCAATTACTTGTTCTGTTTATACATTCTGCAAAGGCAGAGGTAGGACATAATTCAGGCTTATCTCAATATATATCTATAAATATAGTTTTTGACGTGTTTTTCTTGCCACTATGGGATCTAGAAATTTTTGATTCCTTGGGGTTCTGCACCTCTACAACATAACTATTTTCTACTGCTTGTGCTGTTTCAAGATCCATTCTAGTTAAGTCAGATGGGCGGGCCATAGTAGTTATTACAATTAGAAAAGCTGTCTTTTGTAATAAATTTAAAATTGTCATAGTTTCATTTGAGCCTAGGTTCGAAATATAGTCAAATGATGGTGTAATACTTATGATCTCGTCTAAGTGTAGAGGAGGTGGATTCGAATTGTAAATTCCCTTCATAACTTGAACAATATCAGGATGAGATCCTACTTTCTTGCCTTCAATTAAATTGTATATTTCACTAATAGCAAACCTACAACCTGCTATTGTGTTATATGCTTTTTCTTGATCTAATTGTTCTTTTAAAAACTGAATTATAACTACCAAATTGCAAGAAGTGGAATCTTGGTTCCATTATTCACACCAATCACACCACACTCTAATATTTGAGAAAACCATTTTTGATACTTTTGAATCATATGCCGCAAAGAATAGATTGATATTTCCTTCTTGAAGACCCTTGTTTGATAAGCGTTTCTGATAAATGCACTATACAAAGATTCCAAAGTTCTATTCTCCTGTTCGATCTCTGATGATTGTAAATAATTGAGTTTGGTGAAATTATAACCGGGAGATCTGCAAGGAGATGAAGTAAGATGGGAAACCAGTGTGCCGTTTGCTACAAAGGAAAAATCAGAGTTATCGTCACTTTCTCTCAAATTACTTTGCTTAGAACTTTGGGTATTAGTATTCAAGGAGGGTTTGTCCAAGGCTTCCATCTTTTTTACAGAAGTTGCAATTGTTCTGTAGTCAAGGCTTTTCTGTTCAGAATAAGAGAACAATACCTTGGGAGCATCCTGTTGGACCTGTTCACAAACAGATCTATATTGCATTGTCTCAACAACTGATTGATCTTTTTAAACAAACTCTTCTGAATTGACCAGTCTTGGCGCTTCAACTTTAACCTGGATGCAGTATCTGCTAGCCAATTCTCCTTTCTGAAAACATGATGAGTGGTTAAATTGATTTGTCTCTTCAAACTATCCTTCCAAATCATCTCCGCTATTTGACTTACATTTTTTGAAATAGTGCCATCTTGATTGTTTATATATGCCACCGTTGTCATATTGTCTAATTCCAATTTCACATTCATTGAGCTCAATTCCGGGAATGAATCTATTGCTTTCTTTACTGCTAGAATCTCTAGCTGATTTATATGCAGGTTTTTCTCGGATTGATTCTAAATGCTATAAATAACTTGATTGTTCATTACCACCTCTATCCCAGGTGGGACGTATCTGTTGTCAAAGTTAAACTTGGTTCTTGTTGGGTTATTATCTGACCGTTCCAGTTTAATAGTTCTTGGGACCACCACTTTAGCTGGTCGATGCTTTCTGATAAGAGACGTACAATCGAATTCCAACCTCCTCAAGCTAAAGCTTGGTTTTTGTCTTTGAGAAGAGCTTTTAAATATAGCTTTGCTGGAAACACTGCATTTGTACAGGCCAAAAGTTTCCCTAAAATGGCTGCTAGTTTTTAAATATGAATTATTCTTATATTTGACAGTTTCAAACACTCCTTCCTTATTTCATTTATTTTTCTCTTGAGTAGCTTTATTAACATCAAATTTGTATCTATGAGAAATCCCAGAAATTCTAAGTTTTTCGTAGAAACTAGGTGTGATTTTTCCATATTTATTAAAAATCCTAATTGTTCCAGCATTTGTATCACTTTCTGTGTATATAGATGTACCTGTTTCTGCAAATAAGCTATTATGAGAATATTGTCTAGATAGATTATTAGATGAATGCTCTGAGATCTCGCCTATTTCACTACTGGACGTAATATTTTGGTAAAAATTTTTGGGATCGAGGTCAAGCCGAAAGAAAGAGCTTTGAAAGCAAAACATCATTCTCCAAAATCGAATGTTAGATATTTTGAAAAATTTTTTGCTACTAGTATATAAGTGAAGGTGTTTTTGATATCTATTTTTGTCAAAAAATTATTTTTTTGTAATGTGTTCTTTACCAGATCCATACTTTCTATTTTGAAATGTTGGTATCTTCTATGATTGTTCAGAACTTTTGGAAACACAAAAAAGTTTTGAGATAAAACATAATAAGTTTTTGTCGAACTCTGTGATAATACCCTTCTGCAATAGTTTGCTTATTTCTGATGCCATGGTATAAAAAGTTTCTTCTAGTAACGACTCTTTTAAAATAGGTTGGATCTTTAATAAAGGTAACATATTTCAAAGCAGAAGATAGCTATTGTGTAAGAGTTTAACTACCCAGAGATCTTTGCAAAAATTTAGCTATTCGTTCAAAAAAAATCTCAATTTTCCGCCCAACTTTATATTTGCTTTCGGGACTAAGACTAACCCTCTTGTGGTAGATCAGACCAAAAATTTTGCCTATAACTTGAGGTTCCAAATTTCCTACAGAATCCTTTACCTCTGTCTCTATACCTGTTTGTATTAAAGTTCTTGTTTGTTTTGTGATTGTTTTTTTTGCTAAATGATTCTGACTTTTTTTTTTGCTATGCGATATTATTAAAAAACTTAGAAATTTCATTTTCTTTTTTAACATAATTAGCAAGTTCTTCACCAAACAACTTATTGCACTCAGCTCTGGGTTGATGGGAAGAAATGATAGCTTTAATAGCCAAGTCTCTTCTAACCTGTGTGGTATGAGAAAAAGAGGTCAACAGCAAAGATCTAGCTACTAGCATTGATTGTTTCAATATTGCCCAGACTTCAAGAGCTTCTTTTTTATTCTCTGTGAGCTTAGTATTATATAAAGTCTTAAGAGAATAGTCCAATATTTGAGTGTCGCTAATATGCGATATAATATCTTTGAAAGTATTTTGTCAATTGCTTTAATGTCTTTTAGAAGCTTTTGAGATAACTGTTTGTCCATAGATGGTAGTACAAATTTGACCTGTCTATTTCGTGGAACGTTTTGGATTATCCTTTTTCTATTATTAGCAAATAGCTCATTTCCTTTGAATATTTTAACTAGGAGAAATACCATCTCCGGGGTTAGATTATAAGCATAGTCAGAGTCCTCTTCTTGAAAGTCCTTATCATTTGAAAAGAGGGCTTTATCTTCATTGAAATCGTCATCTCATGAAATGTCATTTCTTTCTAAAGGGACCTGTTTCAGTAATAGTCTTCAGGAGGCATGTATCGTTAGGTTTTATTAACTATAAAAGTTTTTTTTTTTTTTTGTGAAAAAACTTGATTATTCAATTAATATACACAAAATGTCTTATTTTGTGTGGATGGCAGAAACCAAAATAAAACAGCCTGGGGAAGAGAGGTTGGTTACGGGCACTCATATATATATATAAAATATATATATATATGTAATATAATAATATGTAATGTATGTACTTCAATTATCATAAATCTTTCCGACAATTACTAAAACCAAATTTTCCCACTAATTGAAAAACAAAATTTTTGTTGAAGAGTCGTGGCCTATGTTGCGATTTATCTAGAGGTCAACGTTTTTGCTTTGCGGGACTCCTCTAAAGAGATATTTGGCATGCAAGCCAGGAGCGTTATTATACAAGATAACTGGCAAGAGGTGCCCTTGTATATAAAATCTTGGTGGAGTGTGAGCAAAAAGCTCAACTTCGTTGATAAAGTTTCTAGATCGTTACTTCAAAAAAGAACACAAGAGAAACAACAAAACTTTTTCTTTTCTAAAGCCGCACTCTTTCTTTTGGGTTTGGTGACTTTTCTATTTTCTTCTCTCGCTCTCCCGTCAGTCTTCCAAAATTTTTTACAAAAAGTGAAGATTTGGCTTACCCCCTCCAAAAGATCGGCATTGTTTACTTTCTAAATTCGGACGGACTCAGTAGAATGCAACCACGTGACGTGTCTGTTTACAAGTATGGTTCTACTCCGAGGAAGTTGGATCGGGGTCTCCGGTTAAAGAGATATCCGAAAGCAGTCATAAGTCAGAAAAACTTTCAACGTTAAGGCAAAGCTTTACACTAAAGATATACAATCGTTGCATTTGTTATATAATTTTTTCAGCCTTGTACAGGTTATAATAGTGCATCCTGGTTATGAAGAGAGGTGCAATCTCTCTCAACTTTTTATTCTTGTTCTATAAAAATTTTTTTTATTTTTTTTCATTTTTTCATTTTTTCGTTTTTTTTTATTTTTTATTTACTTTGCTCTTTCCCTCTTTTGCTCATTTCCCCTTTTTAGTTATAGTTCGTTTCGTTTTTTTTTTTTGGAATAATTCCAGTTATCCGTGATCTGGTAGGACGGAGTTACAACTTAGACCTGAGCTAGGTTTTTGCATCACAATATAAAACTGAGTAGTACCAGACTTCTATCTTTACATTTATGTCATTATAAATATTAATAAATAAGATGGGTTTTAGCCAGACCTATCGACACAAAAAAAAAAAAAAAAAATACATGTACTTCTAAAAATAGGCAAAAACCAATAAAATTGGCCTTAGCTACTCATAATCTTGGTGAGAATTAGAACTAAGTTTCATTGTGAAATTTTACTATGCCAACTAACTCCCAACCTTAAAAAAAACTTTTTGGCATGAAATTTTAGTCATAGAGTACATTTTTATATACTAAATATATGGGAAATTTTTGATATACTACGACCCAAAATTTCTAGGCCAGAAGTAATCTTCAGCCCAAAATTTGCTTGACATAAGGATATCCGGAGGTAGTTACCGAGATCCTGCAGATCCTACCAATTAACATCTCTATGGGTTGGGTATAGTTTTTGCAGCTATAGTAAAGCATCCGGTGTACATGTTATTTGAAAAATCTGCCGATGATTATCATCGACCAATTTAGAAAATTTA